AACTTCTGTCTGGAATGCATAAGATTTCCTGAAGGTGTTTCTTGATCGCTTCGTGAACAGGTTTTTCTATGTTATTATTTATGGTTCCTGTTTTTTTGTAATTAAATCAACAGCAATTAAACATTTGGACCAATCTGTAGCTTGTTTTTCTTGCGGTAAAAAAATTAAGATAATTTTAAAACTATGCTTTCAAGTGCTCAAGGGGGAGAGCAGTCCGCTTTTCAGTGAGAACTCTCGGTCGCCCAGGAGTTTATTACCGGTATCTCTGTCTCTATTTTCCCTTGATTTCTGATAACTTTTTACAGAAAATTGGGGTTTTCATTTCCAGGTGGATTCTCTAAAAGAAATTTGTGAGGGAGTCTTTCTTAGAAACATTGACGGAGATAACGTTTTTCTATATCTTGGAATGGCGGAGCAGTATTCTGTGGCTCGTTTAAAGGTAGGAGACACGTAAAGCACTAAACCAGATTACTTGTGCCACACGGTTTACATATGTTTATGTTTAGAATTTGTGCAAAAGTTTTCCAAGTTCGTCAATTTTAATCGTTCTCAATCTTTTCCAACCTTAACCATATTCGCTCCTTCGTAGTTTATTCATTTCATTGTGATGCTGCCTGTTTTCTTACTAAGCCAATAGTTTTTGGCTACTGGCGTGTTGAAATGAAGTTTGTATACCGCGAAAACAGTCGAGAATGTTGAGACCCTTGCGCTTAAAACTAAAAATTCCTTTACTTTGCATGGGCCACGATAAACCAATTCCCATTGTTTATATCGTACCATAACCCTAACTGAAGACGACTTACACTTTTCTTTTTTTCTATTTCTTGACAGGAAGAATCGTTTCACTACATAACGTTGCATCCTGAGGTCTTGGAATCAGAAATGTTTGAAGAACTCCCGGCGACTCTGAAACAAAGTATCGAAGACAGAATTCGTCAAAGCATGTAAGTGAAATTTGCATACGAGACTTACTCTTACGTACCGCTATGAGTACCGTCTCTCCCCCAACACGATGCATTTATTTAGCGCACTCTCCATGTGAATATGCTCTAATGCACGTTACAACAGTTTGTGGGTTACTTTGGCCAGACTGCATTTTGGAAGAGAATTTGGCAGGTGTCCCTCAATTTAGGAATTTTTGGGAAGAAAGCCATAGGTACCGTTAGCTGAGTAGATAAAAGAGAAGACGCCTTTATTGTATCGACCTTGACAGAATTCTTCAAAGCATGTAAATAAATTCTGGTTGGGTACCGTTAGCTAAGTAGATAATGGAGAACACACCTTTATTGTATCGACCCTGCTTTACTTGTGACTCGCTCACAAAACGCACTTCAACCTTTATACCAATCAGATTCTACACAGAAATTCATAAAAACAGAGGTGATCTAAGAATAATCTAGAAGGGACTACTAAGACCCCAGTGGAGGGGAGGGGGGACTAAGTCTCTTCGGGTCATGCTCTTTTACTTGAGTCAGGTCGTTAGACAAACACATCGTATTCTTTTCTTGTCATTTAGGCGGCACGCTGAACCAATAACAGAGGAAGTACATCAGGCACTGGCTGTAAGTATGAACAAAATGTCACCGAATGGACGTCACCCCCGCGTATTTCACTTTGTAAATCTGCATACGAGACTTACTCTTACACCTGCCGGAGTGCCACTAAGAGTACCGTCTCTCCTCCAACATTGAAAGTCCGTATGAATTTGCTCTAATGCGCTTTACAATAGTTAATGGGATACTTTGGCCAGATTGTCTTGAGCAGTTAAAATTTTTGGAAGAGAAATTTGCAGGTGTGTCTCAATTTAGGAGTTTTTGGGAACAAGGCCAGACCACAACACCGGGAGCTACGTTCCCTACTCTTTACGAGAAGTGCGCATGTTTAAACGTCTCTTGCTAACCAGTAGGAGGAGACGAAGCCTACGGTTTTTCGTCCTGATCCGATAATACTCATTTCTAAATATCATAGCAAAGGCAGCACATTCTCCTCGGTTGTTTTAAGACCCTGAGTGTTGGTCTGGTCTGGATACTAGTCTTAAGTCATAGGTTCTCCCCCCCCCCCACTGGTTTTCATCACGTTTCTTAGGCGGTCAGCCATTACATATTTTTACTCCAGGGGGAGAGAGTCACTGTAAGGGTCGTGCGTCTTTTCTTCGGGTGAATTCCAGTGCGCTGATCATGAGGCCTCAGTTAGATAGTAAGTGTCTTTAAATCGACAGATTACCAGCCTAGAAGATTTCGAAGACCTGCTCGGGGATGATGTTGTTGAATATTTAGACGACAGCGATGATGGAAACGACGATGACGTCATGCCACGTGGTAACAGTCAAATAGAGCGTTGCATTGAGCAACTTCGTGATGTCCTTGGAGATGGTGTGCCGCGGAGAGAGCTAGTACGAGTGACTCTTGCGGCGGATTGTGATCCCAATAGAGCTCTTAACTTTTATTTCGCTTAACGTTTTAGAGTGCATTTGGACTGTGTGTCGTCAAGCGAAAACCAGTGGTGAATCGAAAAAAGAAAATTATCGAAGTAAACACTACAAACTTACTGAAGTGCGTTAAAACGTAAGAGTTTTGTTCACGAATGGTTTTAGACTTGCACCTGTTACGTTGAAAGGGCTACGCAAGTTGTTTGGCCATTTACAATTTCTTTTAAAAGATAAGTCGTTAAAATCTCAATTTTACTTTTTATACAATTTGAAAGATGGTGTTTTCTCTCCACTTTTCAAAACAATTCTTGTCCGCAGTTCGCGTAATTTAAATTTACTTTGGGTAGTCCATGAGAAGAAGGTAAAACTACTAGGCAAAACAAACGATGAAGCTTAAAGTGGCTGAACACAGTTTTTGGTGCCTGTGTTTCTTTCACCATTTTCTCTCAAACCCTTGATTTCTCGGTCGCCAAAACTGGCAGCAAGTTAACAACACAAACTTTGTTTTTGCGATAGTTAAGCTGACGAAGGTGCCGTTGCCATGGCGACATAAATAAATGTAAACAGGCCTATAAAATCGGTTTTGTTTATTTGTAGAAAATCTAGTCATTAGATTTTCTTTATAATTTGCACGCAACGAGCTTGTAACGGTACTCACAAGTTAACATCAATTTGCTAACAATTTAACCGAGAGATCTTTAATTATTCCTTGTTGAAGGTTCACTCGATTATCTAGAATTTCCTTTGTTAAAAATAATTTTTTTTAATACTCCATGTACTTATTTCGTGAATTATTTTCGTGCCAAATTTCGTGAAATTCTAATGAGTGGCTCTCAAGAAATAGGCATATTTCCGAGAAAGCAATTTTCCATTCAATCGCAATTTTTTCACTTACTACGGATACGCTGCATTTAACTGGGTTCTTTCGGTAACGACGAAAAAGCTGAGAATTGCTGGGTTCTTTGCAACGTTAATAATAAAAGATTTAAGCCTTCAGTACACTGCGCAACAATGGAGAAAAATAGCACAGACAGTGCGGATACGTGTTGAGTAAATAAAGTGACTGCTCTATCGACAAAATGTTTGTTTTTTGCAATCCTTGTGCGCGCGCTAAATTGCATCAACAAAAGCGCGCGCGAAAACTGTTCGGCCACCTTAATTTGAGAATCGGCACTAAGTTGTAACTTGGTGCGCGAGAGATTATGTAATGTACATGGCGTAACTACTGCCGTATCGTAATCGTTGGTTCCTGTAGTTATCATATAAGGGGCAAAATTACTGAATCGTGATTGGTCAAGACAGAGGGCATTTTTTTCTTAATTTTTGTAATTGCCCCGGGCAAAATTACTTGAAAATGATTGGCTGAAAATCGCTTAGTAACGGCTGCTGAGGTAAAGAAATTTGTTTGTTTTGTAACAATGGCGTCCCGTTTTGCGCGAGATCAATAAGAAAACATTTTGCCCCTCGTAAAATTAAGGATTAATATCACTTGTGTTTTCGGAAGTTTCAGAAATTGCCCTCGTCGCTACACGACTCGGGCAATTTCAGCAACTTCCGAAAACACGCGTGATATTAATCCTTAATCTTACTCGGCCCCGTGCGATTACCTATACAAATTCCACCCGTTTTAAAACCAGAAAGTTGTGAAGCGTTTGCAAGTAAACCTAACAACAGATGGATACGCGTAGGCGGGAACGAAAAAAAAAAAAATTAAACAAATACAAAAATAGGAATTGCTTTTTGTTTAGAGAGATGAAGGCTAGCGGCCTGTTTTCTCTTTTTGTTGGCGTGCTTTGTGTCCACAGAGAAGCCGTAAAGCTACATACGTTGACAATGACAAATGACAAGTTTTTTCCCGGATAAAAGGATTAATAAAAGTGCCAAAACGTTTTGTCAAAACAGTGTTGACAGGCCTCCAAGACTCGAAAAGGTAATCGAAATATGGTCCAAATTTTAGCTAGGAAATCTTTACTCGATGTTAAAATTTTGTACCAAAAATTAAGAGGTAAATACGTGGAGATTTTATTTTACCCAAACTCGCCTGAGCTGTTATTCGATTTTTGTAAATTAAAAGTGCTGTGGGGTAAAACGCTGAATTCAAATGGTAATCAATAATTTTATAAAAAAGTTGCTATGTGGGACATTAGCGAGGACTTGGATTAAAACTAAATGATTCTTTTGTACAAAAAATATGCCTAATTTATAAGGGTAAATGCTGAAACTGTAATAATTAGGAAAATTAAATAAAAACCCATTCAAAAGCAACTCATTGGTTCTCTTGGTAGCATACCCATTGCGCGCAGTCTCTTGTTATTAAAATATTGCAATATATATTCCGTTATTGTAGAGTTGTTTATCAAGCTAATGTAACAATGGTTATTCTTGTTGCCAACTAAAGGTGAAATTAGCATTTTAAAATCTTCATTTAGACAGAACTTTTACGTTATTGCCCAAATCGCAGTGGGTTTCATTTTCAATTTTGTCATTCTGTGTTGGCTTCCGTGTCACTTGCCGTCTAAAAGAGTAGATGAGTGGTGTGTTACTGGGAAACCGGAGAAAAGGCATATCGTCGTTTACACAAAACCGCTGATAAATAATTTATCTGTCTAACAAAGAGGAATTTTAATTTTTTCTAAGTTTATCCTGTAGTTACCACGTTTGGCATAAACACAAGGTAAAAGCAAGACCTGGAAAGGTTTCTTGCGTGCGAAGCGGCCATCAGACAAAGAAGCGAAAAATATATTTCAACTTCAAGCCGAAGAATCTTGACCTGCCTCTTGACAGAAGCGCAAATGTTAAAAGCTTGGAAGAATTTTATCGAACATGGGATGCAGTAATTCTAAAACACTGGACGTCAACACAGATGTTCCCGATGCTCCTAAAGTGAAACAAGCCCTTACTCAAGAAGATGGAAATCCACAAGGAATTAGAGTATTCAACAAGAACACAAATATTGGCCAAGAGCAAAACGGCTTTGACAATCGAGATGTACATTGTAAAAGGGTCGAAAACCATAATACTGGAGGACTAATTAACCCGTTACGCAAGAGCTTTAAAATCGGAGATGATGTTCATGTGCGCGGTTATGTCGGCGTTGTAAAGTTTGTTGGTGTCACTGAGCTTGGCGAAGGAGAATGGATTGGAATTGAAATGCAACAAGAAATGGAGCAAGGAAATGATGGATGTTACGAAGGGATTCAATACTTCCCTTGCGCAGCGAAACGAGGTGTTTTTGCTCGACCGTCTGTGGTATTTCCCCATAAGGATTCAATGGAAAAACGAGAACAAATCAGCACGATTTCACCTGCTGGACTGGCGCTTTTGCAAATGCGCTGCCGGCGGGCATTAAGAGCCATTCGTAGGCGTAAGCTTACCCTTCGTTCTGACTTGGAGAGGGCGGTAGACGCTCACGTCAAGTCGATACCCAAAAGCGAAACGGTAAACGTCACCAAACTGAGCCAATATCTTACAGAGCCGTATGAAAGCTTAAAAAGCAAGGCTTTCGCTGTGTATCGATGGATAACTATCAACGTATTCTTCGACGTGGAGGGTTACTTTGAAACAGCAGCAAAGAAAGGCACCGATGCCGAAAGTGTGCTTAGGAAACGCGTCACGACAAGTGAAGGGTATGCTAATTTATTTCAAGAGCTCTGTCGATCATCGAACGTCCCAGCGCGGAAGGTGAGAGGGTTCGCTAAGGGATATGGCTACCAGATGCGGCAGAAAATTCCTGAACCAAACCACTCCTGGAATGTTATCAGAGTGAATGGTGGAAAGTGGTTTATTTGTGATCCAACTTGGGGAGCGGGTAGTATCGGAGAAGACATGATGTTTCACAGAGATCCCAACGTACACCAGTTCATGATTCCGCCCTCTATTGCTATTACGAATCGTTTCCCCGCTGAAGAGAAATGGCAGTTTTTGGATGCACCGATTACAAAAGAAGCCTTTGAGAGATTAGCTGTCCCTTTAGGCCCTCTTCGTATGATGAATGTGGCTTTGTGTAGCCACAAAGAGAGCATGTACACTGCATCAGACAGCGAAAAAATTGAAATGACTTTCTATGCAACAGACAGCGCTATACTGAAAGGAGTGCTAAAGAACAGTGTTTCTGGGAGAGAACGACCCACTACGAGAAATATGGTCCGCGTTGAGCCGGCTCGTGAAAATAACAAAGTTAAACTAACGGCTCAGTTTCCCTCTGCTGGGGAATTTGTGCTAGAAGTTATGGTGCTTGTAGACTCCAAGTGGGAACATGGAGTCAGATACTACATTTATTCCACCGCAGGCGTTGGAGAGGAAAGAGGGGGATTTCCCACCGTAAGTCTTAATTTTAAATCCCTGGGGTTTCAGTTACACAGTCCACTGAGGAATATCGAAACAAGAGACGGAAAATGTAGCGTTACTCTAACCTGTGGTAAGAAGCGTTTCGGCATGCTAGAGGGAAGGTTAATCAAGACGTCCGGCGAGCAAACTGGGAAAGTGGAAGACCACAACCTGTGTTGCAGCGAAAAAACCGAGGATGGGTTCCGTCTAAAAGTGCACTTGCCGAGCAGAGGAGAGTATAAACTAAGCATTTACGCCAAATACTACGACCCCTCTATACCTGAAGAGTATTTGTGCACGTACTTTGTCACTGCTTACAAAGGAGCTGGTCTCGTACCAGGTTTTCCTATAATTGCAGAGCGTTTGCGAGCATGGGGTCTGACCCTTTCAAGCCACTCAGAAAACATTTTAGCTGAAAATGGCCAAACTTCCATTACCGTTCAAAATCCCAAAGGCGTTTTATTGTCTGCACATCTCAAACTAGACGAGAAAGATCTTCACGGAATGTGCGCTGTCGAGAACATGGAAAACGAGTCTGTAATTCAAGTTCACGCTCCTGAAAGCGGCTTTTTCACGTTGAACATCTTTGGTCGTAAAACGGTGGACGCGAAATCTGAATTTCTTTGCTCCTACACAATCAGGGCTTTGAAAGGTGTAAGCAATAATCCAGGCTTCCCACAGATCTCAGAACTGTTCAAGACATGGCAAATCGAGTTAGTTGACCAACACGAGAATATCCTGTCAGAATGTGGAAGGGCCTCGCTAAAACTGAAAACCCCAGGGAGCATTTTAGTTCAGGCAACTCTACAACAAGGAGAAGACAATCTCCCCCACGAGCTCTGCTTCACCGAGAGAGAAGGCCACGTTAGCAAAATAAGCGTGCATTTGCCTGTCGCTGGTTTGTACAAACTAAACATTTTCGGACGGGATGGTCCAAGTGCTAAGGGACAATTTCTAAGTTCGTTTAGTGTGCTAGCGACATCGGGATTCGGGGAAAACCCGGGATTTCCGCGCGTATCGGATGAGTTTCGGGAATGGGGTCTTCGATTGGAGAGTCATCGACAGAATATTACTGTGTATGACGGATCAGTCGCTATCACATTTATTAATCCAAATGCCATAAAACTAATTGTTCGTCTGATAAACGCCGAAAACGAGGAAACTCAAGAAAAGTCGTGTTTGAGCAAGGAGAGATGCGATGAAAGAGACGTTATTTACTGCCAGCTTCCAGGCAAAGGAAAATATACTTTGGACGTCTTAGGAAAAAACTCTTCGAACTCAAAGAAAAAAGTACTTTTATGTAGTTACTCCATTTTTTATTGACTCGTCAACGTGCCGCCTGTGGCACAAGGTCGCTAATTGAGACTGATTTCAAAACACGCAGCAAACATAGATGCAATTCTATGCACGTGTGGCAATAAATCGATGAAAGCCAAATGCGGTGATGAATTGTTGTCACTAGACATAAATATATAATCAGGATACCTGCAGCGAAAAGGTGTCATATAAAATCCTTCTTGCGAGCTAGTTCTAAAACGCTCTGAACTAACAAAAAAAACGGCCAAATTTGTGATAGTGAAACAAACTGCACCTATTGTGAACTAAGTTTTCTCATGTCTGCCTGTAAGGTAGTTGAAAAGAGGTTGAACAATTTCGTCATTAAAGCGTTGTGTTTGATCAACACCTTCCAGCAAGAACTCCTTGAAATTATTTCAAATAAATTAGGTTCCTCGTCTTTCTGTGTTCGGTTGAACCTAACAATGAATTTATCGGTGAAAGCACTTCTTGAAAGTGTTGGGAAGTACGTAACTATGAAAACGACTCAACCTACACAGCTGGATTTGATTTTCTTCTTTAGTTTTTGCTTTCCAAACCTCAAAATGCACGCTACTTAGAAAGCACCGATATCCAAAACATTGCAATTAAAACTTCTCGCTTCTTAGATTTATAAGTGTCAATAAGCAGGTCCAGGGAAAAATGGATTATCTGAAAAAACGTATATGTGCACGATCCTTCGCAGTAAAGCACTATTTAAGCAATAGTACGGTTCATATTTTTAATATGAACACAACGTAATTCAAGGATTGAGAAAATTCGGTTCCGAATCATGTTTCAGTTTTCATTACATCAAAACGTGTATGCAATTTGGAAAGCAATGATATCCAAAACATTTCTATCAAAACTTCTTTTTAAAATTACAAGTAGGAGTAAGCGGGTGCAAAGAAACGTTTATCTTAACCACTTACACCCTAACATCACTGTGCATATTCTCCATACTGTTCTCTATACATGCCCTAAGGGGTTAATAAGGAGAATATGTTCAACAATCAAAAGCTTCTTTGGTTGCTGATCATTCCCTCTGTTCGCGTGTCGTTAATAGGACAATCACATGACTTGTGGAGGGGCATATGGTTTATTTGTGGCCCGATTCACCTTCATTTGCAAATGATGCTACGAGGGACACAAATAAACTATTTGCCCGACAAAAGTCATCTAATTATCATTATTACACGAGGCCAAATCGTACAAATTCATTGGATAAAATATATGACCAGGGCGGCAAATACCATTTACAGCCCGCACTTTGCCGTTTGGCCCGCGAAAAGGAGCGTTTTAGAGAGAGAGAGCATTTTGTCATTTGGCGCGTGTAGTTGTAATGATATATGATTCAGGTTTGTCATAGGTTTTTTTATTCCGAACCATATCAATTGGCTGGAATCCCAAATCTTTTTTAAGTCTAGTGATTATATATAGGCACGCACACTCCTAAACCTAAGACTAACCAGTAGCAGTCTGACATGATACCGGGACTACGGTCTGAAATTTCCATACTTGTAATTCTGGTATGTGCATGTCACGTTATTTTAATCTGATAGGCAGGTATCAGTCATTGCAATAGAATATCCTCTGATGACATTCCGACTCTCTATCACTCCCTCAGCAAATGAACATAAGAGTTGTTGGTGACGGTTTTTCATTTCATCACTGATTTGGTTAATTTCTTATTCTAGTTCTCGCGAGACGAATCTTATACATACATACATACATACATACATACATACATACATATACTTTATTAATCTCGAATTTGTAGTAGCTAAAGGATAAGCTAGTATCTTCGAGTTACAAGTATATTTCTAAATACTAGTAAAATGTAAAATGTAAAATTGTAACATTCTAAGATTTAACTATGAAAAAGAGTCATACTGTAGAATCTTGCGCTTGAAATCAGAAAAGTCAGACGTTCTAAAAGAGTCCGGAAGAGAGTTCCATAGTTTTGAAGCCATATATGAAAAGGAGTGAAGACTATAAGTAGTAGTTTTTGTAGACGGTAGAGACAAAATATAATTTCCGCGTAGATTATAGGATACAGACCGGAAACTAAACATATTCCTTAGATAGCCTGGATAGCAGTTAAAAAACAAGCTCTTGTACAATATAATTAAGAAAGTCTGAAGGCGTCTTTTATACAGAGATTTGGAGTTAACTTTGCTAAGCAGAGAGTCATAGGGAGAATTATAATCCTGCAAGATAACTATAAGAATTCGCTTGTTTAAAGTATCTATCTTCTCAGTACTACGCGCACCACAAAAGTGCCAAACAGACGGACAATAGTTAAAATGTGGCATAATAAAAGTCTTCTACAATCTTAGTAGAGTATATTTAGAGATAAGTTTATGAAATTTTAGCATTACATTGAACTGGCCATTTATCTTCTTACAAATAGTTGATATATAACTATCAAAACGCAACCTATTGTCAATATTTATTCCAAATATATCCAAAGAATCTTTTAATGGAAAAGAGAAGGAGTGGCCTGTTTTTCCCAAGACTATACCCAGGTGTTTTGAATCATTTACAATCATTCCATTACTGCGATACCACTTATTTACAACTCTCACTTCCCGAAAAATGCAGTTCTCTAGAGCTACTGGGTCGACATCAGAAGAGTAGAACTGATGATCGTCCGCATATGCGTGAAATTTACCTTGCGTAACCGAGTGAAACAGGTCGTTGATGAATATATTAAAAAACACAGGCCCCAAAACACTTCCATGCGGAACTCCTCTTTTAACATCTTTCCAACTGGAAAAGGTGTCCCCGATCTCGACTCTCTGCTGTCTCCCCGAAAAATAATCCTGGAAGAGCTTAAAACTTCTCTCTCCCACACCATAAGCTTTGAGTTTTGCTAAAAGTAGATTGTGTTGAATAACATCGAAAGCATTAGAAAGATCCATTGAGACTACCGCAACTAATTCCCCTTTATCGAGCATAGCCCTCCAGTCCCCAATTAACTTTAGCAGCGCCGTCTCGCAACTGTAGAACTTTCTGTAAGAGCTGATGTATCGAACTTTCTGTATCGAGTTTCTTCAGGTTCATTTTTGGTTTTCTCTAGATAAGTTCGATGTATGTTCGGGGTCTCTCGCCTCTGCGTTATGACTGGTCACTGATTTTATCGTAAAAGTCGAACATTTTCACACGTCGGGGACGACGTTTCTCGGTTAGAGTCAAATCCTTTCTTCAATTTTTCGTCTGCAACCAGAGAACGCTATTATCGAATTTAACAAGTATTTGTTTGCAAAAACCTTTCAGGAATTTTTTGTGATCTGAGGGGATTTTCCAGGATATTCAAAAGTACCCATTAGAAGCAGGAGATTCTGCTCAATAGAATAATCAGCCTTCAGAAAAACTCAAAGAAATTTTCAGGAAGAATCCTTTTGAATACGAGTCTTCAAAAAGGCAAATTAAATCTTGAATCTCCAGAGAAGAACAACGACATCTTTACCGTCAATTTAGAAATGGAATGTTTATTCCTGGGTGAAGGACAAAAAAAATTCTTTTGAAAAGACTAGAAAACTGACATTCCTCTCGAACAAAGAGCAGGACTTTAAAAGGGATGAACAGTCATTCTTCTGATTAGCTTGCTTAAAATATGAGATTCTGCTCCTTAATCTAATGAATATTAAATATATCTAGCGAGGAAAGCAGTGTTTCCTCTCAGAAGAATAGCTTTTTGGCTAGTTCTTGTAATAATCATTTTGTTATTTTCGGGAAAAAAACGAGTATTTCTCCAAAAAGAGTCTGAAACGTATGAGTTTCTTCCTCTAGGTATTCTTAACCCCGGAAGAATTGAAGAACCACGGTTCTGTCCTCAAGATCGCTAGAACCAGATTTCTTCTTCTCTTTGGGAACAAAGCGAAGAATCAGAAGTTACAAATTCTATCAGAAAGAATTCAATTTCTGTTTAAAAGAAGTGAGGTGGAGGCGCGGTGGCCTCATGGTTAGTGCGCTCTACTCCGGATCGAGTGATCTGGGTTCGTGTCCCGGCGGGGACATTGTGTTGTGCTCTTAGGCAAGACACTTTACCCTCACAGTGCCTCTCTCTTCACCCAGGTGTATAAATGGGTACCGGCAATTTAATGCTGGGGGTAACCCTGCGATGGACTGGCATCCCATCTAGGGGGGAGTAGAAATACTTCTAGTCGCTTCATGCTACAGAAACCGGAGTTAAGCACCGGCCTAATGGGCCACTAGGCTCGTAAACAGACTTT